TTCATTTAACATTCATGATAATATGTCTATGAGGTTCATCTCTCATTGTTTGAACAGTTGTATTATACACTTTATCTGATGTTATACTTTTTCACATTCTAACCCTTTCTTAGATTCTTTCACAACCTGGCAATTCAGACACTTGTGAGTGTATGTCTGAATGTTCTCAGTCATGCTTGATCAGTATACTCTTGATTTAAGTACACTCATGAGTCCAGAGCTTTCTAAGTGACTGAATTCCTTGTGCATGTGAGCTATCAAGTTGTGTCAAAATGAAGGTTCTAGATAGGAAGCTTCTGCATATTCTAGATTGTGATAAAGTATAACATCATTTTTCAATTTCCCTAGCTTGAAGTTCAGAAGTATCTCTTCTACTACTTTTATAAGACACTTGTCATTCAACACCTTGTCATTCTTCAAGTGAGAGATCATAGTGTTCACTCATTCTGATTTCTTGCATTCTCTCAGTACATTTAACATGAACATTTCTTATACCTGGTTCATAGAACCCTCACTCATGAAATCAGGTCTGTGACTGATTGTATCAGGCATCACAGTGTCTGATTTCTTTCAGTATTTGATATGAAGATTGTACACTTGAAACTCTGAGATTCAATGTGCTAAGTGTTTGAAAGGTTTTGTCATTGATTATAGATAGACAAGGCTTTCATGATCTGTGATCACTGTTGTTGTATACCTGTTGTTAATATATCTATTTCACAACATCAGCATGTGCTTAATCACTAGCAATTTCTTTTCATGCACTGAGTAATTGAGCTCAGTGTCTGATAGTTTTCTATCATCATATATCACTGAGTGCAGCTTGCCATTCTTGCTCATCTGTAGAAGAGTGTCTTTAATAGCTCATTCAGATATGTTCATCTCAATGTAGAAAGATTTATCACAATCTGATTGAATAAGCACTGAGAATGTTATTACATGTTTTCTCAGTGTGAGAAAAGTCTCTTCACACACAGTATTTCAGATAATTGAACAAAACTTCTTCTTTCACAGATTTGCATTCATTTCTCTTAAGAGATCTGAGAGTGATACAGATATTTATATGAAATTCTTGATGAACCTGCAGTAGTATAAGATCAACTCAAGAAACTGTTGTACATAATGTACATTTCTCAGCCACAGTCAATTCACTATGACATTCAATTTCTTCAGAATGAGATGTATACAGTCATCACTCACTACATGTTCTACAAACTTCAACTCTTTCATTTTAAACACACACTTAATTGATTTGATATAGAGCTTATACTCTGTCAGAGTTATAAGCACTTTATCAAGATACTTCAGATATTCATTGTATAAGTTTGAAAAGACTAGAATGTTATCAAGGTATATAAGGCATGAGGTTTCATTCTGTTTATGAAGAATTGTATTCATCATTATTTGAAAGATGACAGGTCACAGGTGCATTTATCAGACTGAATGACATTGCCAGGAATTTAAACTTCTCTCATTGTGTATTAAACACAGTTCACAGAACTGACAGTTCATCTATGCAGATCTACTAGTATTCTGAGAGAAGATCAATCTTCAATAGATATTGAGTGTTTCTGACTGTATTCAACTGTTATTGAATTCATGACAGTGAATATTCATTCTTAATCATAAGCTTGTTAAGTGCTTAATAATTGATACACATCTGTCACTCCTCACCTGCCTTTTTCATGAATAGAACTGAAAAGCTTCACATGCTTGATGAGAATTATATGAGATCACATTCTAGAAGGTCTGTGATCTGATGCTTCTGTTCTTCAAGATGTATTTGTGACAGAGAGTATACATTCTGATTGACTGGTTTTGCATCCTCTGTGTCAATCTCATGTACAAATCCTTGTTCTGGCAGCAATTTCAGTGAAAGATCTGTTCAGAAGATCTTTTCATACTTCTTCAGAAGCTTCTTCATACACTTATTCTCTCACATATCTTTTATCTTGATTTTCTTGACTTCCAGGTCCTGTATAACATACAGAATGCTTTTGAATGAGATCTTGTGAACTGTTCTCTTTGCTTGTTGATGTGTAAGCAGATTTAACCCTTCTATACCAGAGGTGTGGAATGTCCTTCTCATATCAGTTGATAGAATTGTATGAACTGTTTTCTTTCTATCAGTCAACTGCATATAGCATGTACATCATTGTATCTGTGAATTAAACCTTTGAAATCAATCAAGTCTGAGAATAAGGTCATATTTCATGTTCTGCAGCTCTCACACTCAAATATAGCAAGATCATTCTCTGAAGTGCAAGGGAACTCTTACTCTTGCAGATGATATCAAATATCAGTTATCAGATAATCTTATGCATCAGAGATTCTTCACTCAGTGAATCTCTTTCAATCTTCAGATTATATAATCATCAATATATTGTGTAGAAGCTTCTGTGTCTGCTAACACTTTTACAGCTATCTCTTAATTCTTACTCAAGTGCCTTCTATACATTAACATTTCAGGCCTCAAGGCATTGAGATGAGTGTTCACTTCATCATTCTCACTCACATCTCATTCAGAAGCCTGCTTCTTCTTTACATTCACAGAATTCAGAGAGTCATCTAACACAGATATCTCTTTCACTTTGAAGGCTTTTCATAGAATATCAGTGAGTGTCTCTGAGCTCACTGATTCTGCTAGTTTTTTGACTACACACACTGAGTGCAATCTTTTGCATCATGATTTTGATGTCTGCAGTTGAAGCAAGCTCAATGCTTACAACATCAAGGTTTTCACTCAGGGAATCTCTTTTTCAGAGAATTCAGTGCTTTAGCAATGACATTCAGATCTAGATTCATTACATCCAGGTGTGTAACTTGTGTCATAGAAGTCTGATTACTCATTCTCTACTAAGGCATACTTGATTGCAGTATTTTCTGTTATAATTGACTTACTTGTTTCTGTATAATAAGAATGTTGTATGCTTCTTTCATCATGCCTGACTAGACTGACCGTGTGACCGTGTCTGGGACCAGGACCAAACTTTACAGTTGTCATGTTGCCTAAAAGCATTACTTCTGGTCATGGTTTGTGTTCATCACATTAATTTCAAATCATGTTATTTTAAATATTAAAGATCTCAGATTCACTTTTCAAATAAAAATCTAGTTCTGAATAAAGAATATGTTTGAATTCTTAGTCACATTTTCATTCTGATCTCATTATTGAGAATGGCATTAAATGAGATCATGAAATCACTTCTCACTTATATAATATTATAACATAGTGCTCATTTGTTGAAAATTCAATAGAGAGTATTATCAAATATCATTACTTTTCTAAACACAGATCATAATTCATATAATTTTAATTATGAAAAAAACATAAAATACAAAAAAAAATAAAAAATAAAAAACAAAATAAACACAAGAAAAAATCACATTAAAAAAAAAAAAAAAAGAAAAGAAAAAGAAAAAAATAAAAAATAAAAACAAAAAAAATCAAGGTCACAGAACTGCAGTACTCTCAAAATACTCACTTCTCAGAGTCTTTACAATGTTCATCATCAACTGTGTATTTCTCACAGTGAGAGTAATACAGTCACAATGAGTTATTATCTTAATATTACCTAATAAATAATCAGTATATATCTGTATAAATGTGAATAATTAGAAAATATACACTTAAAAAGTGTGGTCAGGGTGAACTCTGCTATCACTTGAATAACATTAAGAGCAGAATGCTGGAATTGATGATTTCTCTCATTGATTTCACAGACAAGGCACATGAAGATGATCTTGGAAAATATAAGATCTCTCAACTTCTGATAAAAACAGATCTCACAGAGAGACTCTATTTTTATAATATTAGAGACTGAGTATTATCAAAAAGCATTACTTTCATGCAATACATATATACTTACTGCAGTGATTCACTCTCTGTATACATGACTGAGAGTTGCAGCTTTCTCACGCTGTACAGCTCTCTCTGAGATGCTGTCATTAGTTTGCAACTCATGCAGTCTCTCAGTTCAGCATGTACTGTGTATATGCAGCTCTGTGTGCTGAGACTGTGTTGATCATTATGATCTGGCGTGGTACTTACTTTTCACAAGTCATGTTTTATTTGAGAGAGAGAGAGAAAGACATGACTGTTGTTTTATTAAGAGAAGAATGAATAATTAGTATTATTGAATTAATTTGATTCATCTGTATTTAAAATTTGATTAGTTTATACTCTTCAATTTGAGGGTTTCTATGAGTGTTTTAATAGTTTTCATACCAGCTTAAACTTAGTGATGAGTTGAAGAAGAAGAGAAAAGAGAGAAGAAAGAAATGAGAATAACTTATCTTTATAATATGAAAACAGAGAATTACTGCAATCATTCTCTCTAGTAACAAAGATCTGTTTTCTGCATGTATTTCTGATATAGATTATATGATAAATGTATATAAAGAATATCAATAGTGCATGTATTGAATGAAGATAATATTGCTATATAACACTGTAGTCATTTCTGTACATCTCTGAAAGCTGTTAATAGTTTCTTTGTCTCTTTATATTTAGTAAGTTAATAATATATTCTGATGCACTCTCTCTTCTGTCATCATTATCATTATCATTATCATCATCATTATCACCATCATCATCACCATCATCATCATTATTATCATCATCATTATTATATCATTGCCTGCCTTCACTCTCTTCTCAATACTCATCAAAATCAATCATGTTATTTCTCTTCAAATATTCTGTGGTTCTGCGGACCATCAAGGCGCGTGAGTGCTGTCACAGATTGAAGAAAGAGAAGAAGAAGGTGTTTAAGCACAGAGAGATAGATTGCAAGATATGTTATAATGTCTTGAAAAGACTCTGTAAGAGAGTAGAATGATAATGATTTTAAGTAATACTTCTGATAGATTTAGACTGAACTAAGTATAGAAATAATACAGATAACACCGCCTGTGAGAGATTGAAAAAGAAGATAGTGAAGAGTCTCATACAGCAGTGATAAGATCAGGAGAAGTTCTGAGAATGATTTGAGACTAAGATGAAGAGAGAGAGAGAGAAGAAGAGTGTTACTGTAAATAAGTAATAGCAGAAGAAGATTGAGAAGATATTGAAGCAGAAGATAAAGAAGTCAAAACTGATAAGTTTTTTATTGAGAGATAACAATTTTTGATAATACTTCTGTTCTCTAATTGATTAGCAGGAGCTGACAGAGAAGGAGGGAATTGAGGCCTTATTCAGGTCTCAAATGCGCTCCATGATCCAGGACATTGAGAAGGCAGCCCTGCTCTCTGAGCATGTCAATCTGCTTACTGCTGAGATGGAACCTGAGACAGCAGACCAGAAAATGCAGAATTTTGAGATGCAGATTGACCTGGCTGAGAAGAAGCAGTGAGAACCCTTCTCTGAGAAGGCAGTGAAGAGAGATTTTGAGATAATTATCATCTCAGATAAGAAGAAGAAGAAGAAGAAGAAGAAGAAGAAGAAGAAGAATGAGAAGTGAATTATGAAGAATGATAAGAAGAATGAGAAAGAGAAGAAGTAGATTTTTTTCTTTTTATATTAGTTAGTTATAAGTTTAAGTTTTTAATTATTAATAATTAAAATTGATTTTGAGTTTTTAAAAATTATTGTACAAGTTGTAATCAAGTCAGGAATGATATATATATATATATATATTTAACTATCATGATTCACAAATCACTATAATGTATAAGTATCAACATTTTTTCAACATTGATATTTATAATATTAATATATTTTTAATAATATTATCTGATAATACAATTTAATAACACTCTCTTTTATAATATTAATATATTTCAAGAAATATAACAGAGATTAATCAAGATTGTTTATTTACTTTTATATATCAATGATATTCAATCTGAGTTAGTACTAAAATTATAACTAAGCTAAGAAACAAGATTATTTTCTCTTATATTAATTCTTCTTACACACATCAGTGATCAGTTATTGAAAATAAATTGTTATCTTTCTTAAATTATTATCATATCTTCTGAATTCACTTCTTTCACTTCTTTTACTTCTATTGAAGATTCACAAACTCTTTAAGAAATCACTGTGAATCACAAAGTCTATATTATTTACAATTCAACACAGAATGCTCTCTTTCAATTATAATGAATGATTACTTCATTCTTCACATCTGATTTCAGGTCATGAAATTTATGAAAAACTCAACATAAATATCAAGATGAACTATGAAATAATTATCAACAGATTATATTGCAGATTACTGAAGAGTTATCTCTTTACTGCAATCACTGCAACTTCATTCAGAAACATTCATTATAAACTGATTATAACTCTGAAGAAATTTTCTGACATCTGAAGTCATCAGAATGCAGATAATAAAAGAAAAATAATCAGAAAATTACTACTGAGCTGATAAGTTACTCTATCAGATAATAATTTTTGATAATACTAACTTTCTAATTTAAAGAAAATCATGTAAAAATGACTCTGTATCAGTACTCTGATTTCATAACTCTCATCTGATAACTTCTGTGAATAATTACTTTGTATATGTATATCTCTGAATCTTTCTCTTTAATTAATTGAAAACCCCGAATTCTGAACACTTCTTCAAATGCTTAATTCAAATCTTCATATTTCACATCAATTCTGTCTTCAGTTCAATCTTGAGATACACTACAAAGTTAATATGTAATATCTAGAATCAGAGTTGAAGAATCATTGAAGAGTATCTCTCACAGTGAATGCATAAACTAGTATAAATAATCTTACATTTATAAGAGTTACATGTTATTACATTGATGAGAACTGAACTTATCAAGAGACATTAATTGAATTTGAATCATTGATCAGTAGTTATACTGAGGATTATATGACAGAGGTATTAATGACTGTGATTAAAAATGACTATTGAGATATTAGTCTCAGTCTTCTTACAATTACAACTGATAATGCTGTGAATAACTACACTATGATGAAGAGCTTGAAGTAAAAATTGACTTTACATTTCTGAAATGATAAACAAGGTCATATTCTCTGTATTACTCATGTGATTCAACTTGTGATGCAAACACTGATAAAGAATCTTAATATCAAGATAAAGAATAATGAGATGACTGATTCTTGAAATGAGAATAAGATGAAAGTGATTACTCAAGTAACTTTTACATTCACTTTGTAAAAGATAATGTTTTTTAATAACACTTTTTGATATTACTTTTTGATAACACTTTTTAGTAATGCTACTGTTAATTTTGAATAGATTGACTAATAATTTAAATATCATAGATTTGAAACATTGCTAATGTGATTTGTACCTCTTCTAAATAACAATAATAATTTCATGATATTCAATAAATAAATAAATCAGTCACATCACTGAATATGATACAGAATGTTAGAACACAGTGAAGTTCAACATATAAGATGACTGTTCAGACTCTTTGATTGTGTCAGATGATTGATCATTGAGTGCAACACTCTGATTGAGAAAAGATTCAGATATTGAAACTTTTGAATATGAAGTGAACTCAGTTGAAATATGTGATTGATTTACTGTTTCAGTTTTATAAGATAATAAAGACAGTCTCAATCACTTGTACATCAATGCTGCAGTTAGTCTGGTGAGTGTATAACAGTTTATTTACTCATCTTGAGAAGTAGTTGAATCACTTAAAAAGAAATTCAGTCTGAGATGATGCTATAGTGCAGGCTATTATTACTGCAAGAGATAAACTGGTATATTACTACAGCAAAATAGAACAATCTTTTGCAGAGCACTATGCTATAGCAGCTCTACTAGATCTCTTCTGTTAAGTTAATATCTACACTTCTCAAGATTGAATAGAGGAGAAATGAGACTCATATGTCAAATTAGTCTGAGACTACTACAATGCCAACTATCAGAGATTTGAATGAGCAGATGTTTAAGATGTGAAGACAGTGGAATACAATTCTCTAGTAAGTAATGATCTTTGATAACACTTCATATTATATAGAATTATAATACTAACTTTGAAACAGAACTTGCATACATTGATTGCAACTGAAAATCAGGCAAAACTACATGCTTATAAAACTGAATTTGACTGCTATCTTCAAGATGATCTGATGAATTTACACACTAAATCAATTCTAGAGTTATGAAAAATTGTTAAGAGTATATATTCAACTGTTACACTGATAGTGTGTGATATTCTGATAATTTCATTGACAGAGGTGAGAATGAAGTGAAAGTTCAACTCAAGTTAAGATATTTATCACTATTGCTGAGAACAATTATAAGAAGAAACAATCAAGAAACTCATGATTGTAAAACATGAAATTATCAGACAGTTTAATACCTCTGATCACAGTATATCAGAGAAGTGTAGTTTTCATGAGAAAGTGAAGAATAAACTTGCACAAGAATGTATTTAGTTGTTTCATGAGCATTATCAATAATTGTTACCAAATTCTGATTATATAAGTAATCACTGAATGAACTGAATGAGACTGATTTTGATCTTCAGTCTCAGTCCCATTCTGATTTTGAAAGAATGATCATCTTTCACAGTTTATCCTGGAAAATTACTCTCATTTCACTGTTCTTGAATTAAATCTGGTCATTTTTCACATCATTTCTCTCAGAAATGGTCCATTTTCAGATTTTTTTGAGGCTTGGTCCTGGTGAGACTCACGCCAAGAAATGTATGAGACCAGACCAAATGGGACCAAATGTGAAATTCATGGTCCCGCCGGCCAGTCTATGCCTGACTGTGAGGTTAAGCATTTTCATTTCACTCTCAACTCAGATATAAGATCATGAATGAAGATCTGTAAATAGAAAGATGTTAAAAGCTCTTCATTCAACACAAGATAGTGTAAGCTGAAGTGTGTGAAGTATAATGTAAGATCACTCACTTATCTACACTCAGTGAAGTGTTTATAACACTTGTCTCATGTGTTCACTTTCTCAAAGTTGTGTAAGATTCATTTGAAAAACTCATTTCATGTTCATGAGAATGAATATTACTCTGAGTCTGTGAGATTCATCTTTTCATCAGTTATTCATAATGACTTTGCTTTTTCATGTAGAAATGCAGCAGATCTTAAGACTTGTTGAAATTTCATTGACTATCTGTCTGTGAGTTCATGTTCAATCTGATAATATGATCACATCTGACTTAGCCAGCTGATTGCAGCATCATTTTTTCAGTCATCATTGAAGCTTGATGACTTCAGCAGATCTCTCAGCTTGATATATTTCATGCTCAGATTCTCATCCTGCATAGTGATCTTCAATGATATGTATGCTTCTGAAGAGGTTATGAACAATCATAATAAAACCTTCAGATTTGATATAGTTATCTGTCTGTATAAATATTCAATCTTCTGCTGCAGGCCTAAGATCTGGTTTTCTCTATTTTTATTGATGATGATGATTGCGTCAGCGAAGCTCTTCATAGTGAATACTTGATTCACAGTAAATGCCAATTGTTGTTTGACTTTCACCTCAGCCTGCCACTGCATATGCAAGGTCTTGATCTCATTTAGAATTCTCATACATGTACAGAGCTTTGATTCCAGTTCAGCAGTCTCAGCTGCTTTTCTTACTGCTTCAAGTAAACTCTCTGAGAGGTTCTGCATACCTTTCAGTTCAGATAGCAGAGAAGGGTGTTATTATTATTATTATTCTTCAATTATAGATGTATGCAGTCAGAGACTATGACATCTACCTGAGAACTTTTAGTTCTCAGGGTTTTTCCTATATCTGTAAAGTTAACTATTATACATTCATCAATTTCAGATATGTAAAATCAGAAAATTCCAGCTCAGAATACAAAAACTGTTTACAAATTGCAGTGTTTTAACATCATCTCATACTTTGAAATCATTTGACAATATCATGACAAAGGAAAAGAGAACACAGTCTTAAAGATAGACATATTAAATAGATAGACAGAAAGAAATTAAAAGGAAAAGATAAGATAAAGAAAGACTGTAATAAAATAAATTATTAAAAGATAGTATATAGCTGTTTTAACAGACTATATCTGGTTGATTTCCTCCTCTTCATATTCAGATAATTCTGAATTTAGTCATTTTCTTGTAACTGCTTGAGTTTCTGATAGAAAGTCTATTAAGTATTTAATTCCTGTCTCAGTTGAGAATAAGAATCTCATATTTAATTGATTTAAATCATACTTCTCTTTCAATCTGGCTCTGAGACTATTGTATAATGCACAGTACATTACAATATGCTCAGAATTCTCATTTGTATTGCAGAATGAGCATTCTATTAAGTCAAATCTATCATCAAATCTTTGTATATAAGATTTGAAATAGTCATGTTCTAGTTTCAGCTGTATTATAGATGAGAATATTTTCTTTTTACATTTAATTGAACAGGATTTC